AAWTYTTGGATGCCTTTATTCAATAATAGTGGCTCCTTAAATAGGAGATTACAAGAGTCCTGCTCTTAGGGAGACTCCTTGTTGAATAGGGAGACCTCCAACTCTATCTTGATAAGATAAGACTGATAAGATAAGATAAGTCTCTCTTAATCCTAATCTAATAAGATAAGATAAGTCTCATCAACTCTTCCCTGAAAGTGAATATGTTTTACAGTGCTGGTAAAACAAAAATCATGTTTCATTTTAGTCAACTAGGAAACATTCCACCAGGAATGACTACAACTGCACGGCAAGACCAAGAAATATACATTAAGCCAGAATAGACATTTTATAGTTGAATATACTGCTTTAGCATAGAACCAAAATTAAGACATGGCTCTTATATCAATTGGTGAAAAAATCAAATGGAGAAAAGGAATAACTAGACAAACCTTTCTGGAAGACGAGCACTTGAAATTTGGCTACTGGATGATGAGTCTGAAACAGCAAAGAAGCAGATTTTTCCGTCAACAGATATGATTTTGAAGGACTATATGTCAACACAAAATATCTATAATCTCATGTGTGTACTCTAACTGAAGACTCACCAATGTCATTCATTACAAAAGCCTCAGTTAACTTGTCACATTTTACTTTCAAGCGACCCTCAATCTCACAGGCAAGTGAAATTCGATATTCACCCATGTCCTACAGTTAAACAAATTTTAAAAACAATATCAAATGATTCATTAAAAATTTACAATCTCCTCTGAGTCAGAATTTAACAGGACTCCACATGCTTCAATATAATAGTAAATACTGATGGGGAAAATAAGTCAGAATACATTAAAGATGCATAAAGGACAATTAGAAATTTGATAATATGTTGTTAAGCACCTAATGACTTCTATACATTGACCTAGAAAGATCTACAATTTAAATAAGTCATGATAAAACCTAGCGTACCACAGTAAAAGGGGTTTGTTGTAGCTGTATTTGCCATAGATAAGCAGGAGTAATTCCAAGAAAGCGATTTGGAACTCCACCAACTCCAGGTTCTGCTGCATCAGTAGAACTCAGAGCAAGTGCATTATTTGTCACACTTGCAGTGCTGTTGGCTAGACCAGTTGTATAATTTGCTGAATTTGGACTTGAGCTGATTGTGACACTGGTACTTGTACTATCTAGAGAGCTCCTTGACATTATACTCAACTTGTCAATTTCTTCCTCATGAATTTCACCGTCCTTGGAAAGAAGAGGAAGCCTCAATCTTTGAGCTGCCTCTGCAATGACAAGCCGATGCTCTAGAGACTCATAAACCTGAAATTACCTAAAAAAGTTAAAATAATTCTTGTCAATTCAAAACTAATAGAACACAAAAATAATTAAGCATGACTTCCCTAAAATCTCTACTGAGAATTGCACTTTTGGCTCCCATAAATGACATGCATTTTAGCATATGTGCTTTCTGATTTAAATGTTTTCTTTAGTCTTCACCCACTTTATTCACAATAATCTTATCACTAGCTATGTACTAAAAGCCAAAAGTCTGAATCTAACATAAACAAAAATATTTAACTATTCCTTTGGCTGAAGAAATGCTACAACCTCCTTCAAACAGCATCTTTGTTTTCAAAGAAAAATATCACTCACGAAAACTTAATTTGGTAGTGCTGGCCAATTTTGGGTTCAACAAGACATGAAACCTGGACCTCCTAAGTCCGATTTGGAAATCGTCAACATAAAATTTCAAATGAATACTTCAAACGCCGATTAACACTAAAAATCAAAGAAAAAATGGAGCAATAGCATAAAACTATCACCTCAGTGTCAAACAATGAACGTAGACTAACATACTTCTGCGGTTCTTTTCATGCAAAATAATAGTACTAATAGTAATGAAGTGATAGAGTTTGAAGTCCTAGCAATTGAAACCTGAGGCGAGCTCTTCAAGCCAAGCTGGGGGTACAGACCATGAACGTCTCGGATTCCTCCAAGGTTCGCCACAGAAACTGCCTGTTGATACTCTTCCACCATTGCAATCGCCTCACAGTAGATTGCCTACAGAAACACGCCCACCTCAAGTTAGAAATGCAGACCAGAGAAAACAAAACAAAGAAAAATAAAAGAAAAAAACAATAATTGAAAAGTAAAACCCTAATTCAACAGAACCAAGAAAGAAGAGAAGGGGATAAAAAACACTAATCGTATAAAATAGGTCGTTACCATGGCTTCCAAATAACGCAATCTCTCTCTCGACAATTCCTCTCTGGCCTGCATTGACAGTTAGCAATCGAAGACAAACAGAAAACATCACGAACGATCTCGAGCGGGAAAAAATATAGATTCATTGAACGCAAGGAGGAGGAACAATGTAAGAAAATAAATAGAAAGTAGGGGTTGGCGTACTAGTTGGAGATCGTAATACGCAGATTTAGAGACCATGGATCCATCAGGAGCCAGACAATGTCGTTCCAACTGTTCGATCAGCTGTGTCACATCCGCAGGAAGCCCCTGCACTTGTAATCCTTTCGCCATATTCTCGGCTTCCCCCGACCGCCCGACGGAATTGGCCTGGCCTTCGCCTAAAATCTTGCAAACAAGAGAAATACTGCTTGTATAGGATCCAATTTCAAATTATTTGGTTTATTGCAGGCTAAGAAAAAAATAAAAAAAAGGTCATTTACTAAAACACTCCTATAATTTTATTAATTTTTTAAAATCCAACATATAGTTTGTGTTTTACTAAGACATCCCTACAGTTTGCAATCAATTTATTTAGTATATGTTTGGTTCCGTTTACATTTATTGAATAAACATTTATTGACGGTGTGGTGCCACATAGGCACCCCATCAGCAAATGTCTCATTAATTGCATTTGTATGTATCAAAGCTTCATTTTAGAGCTTCTTGTAACAAGTAGGCGTTTATTGGCATTTTGCTAATGTGGTGCCTAATGGAGCCTATGTGTCATAAACGCCCTCATTAAATGTATTTATCGATTTTGCAGTTACACAAACAAAATGTTTATTAAATAAACGTAAACGGAACCAAAACACTATCTTAATCAGCCTTCCATCCATGTCAAAACAAATCATTCTTAATGAAAGGTCGATTAAGTAAATAGATTGCAAACTATAGGACAGGTTTAAGTAAATATGTAAAACTATAAGATGTTCTAGTAAATGACCCCAAAAAATGATAAAAGAAAAGAAAGGAATCAGTGAAGAGGTTGTTGTTGATCCTTGCTCGGACGGTGTTGTAATTGGGTTTTTATATTGCAAATGGATTAGAATCCAATTGGGATCTACTACTCAATAGATGTTGCTCACACCCACATCCCACCTTGTATTAGAAACATCTCCCCATGAATCTATACTACTTTAAAAAGTATCAATAGTCTCAAGAATATTTTTGGAATTTTGTGATGACATAATTTACCCTTCTATATTTAAATTTATTGATAAAAATGGGGACAAATAGGGTAATTAATAATTCATATTAAATGAAGTGAAAAGAGTTAATTTTAAGATATTCAATGCATTCAATTATCTCTCATTAAATCCAACATTTAAGATATTGATTTGCATTCACCTTCATTGAATCATATATATAAGGCTTCTTTGTTTCTTCTCATCATTAAATACATACATAATAAATTAATAATTTCAATAACATAAAAACTTATACTTTTAAAATGTACCTGGAAAAAATAGTGTTTTCATCTAGGTGGTGGTAAGAAATTAAACCATTTGAGTCAAAGGGGCCAATCCATATTGCCACAATTAAATAATAAAATTCAAAAATATAGAAATAAAAAAAGATGGGAATGTTTTTTACATCATATATTTGACATATTAAACAATAATAAGTATAATAAACAATGTTTTAAAAATCGACCCGAAGGCCGACCCACTTTTGCCTTCGGATCACAGGTCACCAGTTCGACTATTAAGGTCAAATGGGTCAAATCACTCTATGTCAACACTATGTGTGTATGTGTAAAATTACATATTTTATCAATGAAGAATATAATTATGTTTTACATATATTACATATAATATATGTATTATGTTACATTTACTTATGTTTTTTTAATTTCGTTTTAAATTTTTTATTTATAAAAAATATTAAAAATTGTAATTTTGAGCCAAAAAAGAGTTTTTTTTTCGGAAATAGCAAGGCAAGGCACATAATGCCCTTGGGATGTATAAATCTTGAAAATTTACTCAAAAAAAAAAAAGAAAAGATAACCCCAATCGGACATCGGAGTGCAAAGTTATGGCTCCCAAAAGTCTGCACATAATTAAGTGTGCAACCTATGACTTGGTTACTAGGTCAAACAGGTCAATGGTTGAACCGCCCAAATTAAACAGTTTTTAACCAAAAGGGGGAATTTCAACAGAACCAAACTTAGAATAACGACTAAGTGACGGTTCAAACAGTTCAATTGACCAGGTCAACAACAAATTGAAAATATTGATGATAAATAAAAAATATTTTTATTAATAAATAAATAAAATGTAAAATTTAAAGCTAATTAGAAGTAAAACTATTTTCCTATTATCTCTCATTAAGTCTCATATTTAAGGTATACTCTCTTATTAAATCCTATATTTAAGATATTTTTCTCATCATTAAATTGTAATAATTAAGTCCATAACATTAATTTTAATAATATAAAAATAAATATTTTAAAAATTAATTTGAAAACAAAACCATTTTCTTCCCTCTCGGTGGTGGGTAAGCAATTCAACCATTTATGATCAAATCCATTAACAAAAATGGCAAAATTAAATAATAAAAAATTAAAATAAAAAAATATATATAATACAAAAAAATAAAAGAACTGGGCAGCTCATTAATATTGTATATTCATTATACAGAACAAAAATAAGTATGAAATGTAATAAGTATTTTTGTAAATGATGAAAATGGAATGCCAAAATTAAAATCAACCTAAAAATGAAATTATGTCATAGTAAAATAATAAAATTTTTAAAAATAGAAAATAAACAAAAATAAATATTATATATACATAAGATATAATGTTATATATTTATAAAAAATAAAATATTGGATACATATATAATATAATACATTCATTATATTAAACAAAAATAAAAATTATACATAAGATATAATTTTATCAATAATGGAAACATAATACAAAATTTAGGGGCTGTTTGATTAAACTTTTCATAGGTCTGAATCTGAAAATGTTGCTTTTCAGACCTCACACTTGTATGGTTTTACCTCTTAAACTTGATCTGAATCTTCTTTTTAAATATGAAAATAATAGATCTTGGGTCGGCTCTTAACGCGCTCAGACACGTTTCAAAGCCGATGCAAGCTTGAAGCTGCCCTTGCAATATTTTGGAAATGACACGCACTACCCTGTCTTCTCGCACGCTCAGACTCGTTTGGTTTCTCTCTTGCTCTCGCTCTCTCCCCCTGTCTTCCCACCACCTTGCAGCGGCGGTTCTCTCTCTCTCTCTCTCTCTCTCTCTCTCTCTCTCTCTCTCTTTCTCCCTCTCTCCCATGTCTTCCCACCACCGCCACTGCCACTGCAACATGCAACAACGGTGGTTCGGTGAATAATAATAATATTTTTATTAATTATCAATTATAAATTATTTTTTATTAATTATTTTAATATTTTTTATTAAGCATTAATTATTATTTATTACATTCATTTGTGTTATTTATTAATTATTAATTATTTTTACTAACTATTAAATTTTAATTATTTCATTAATTTTTAAAATTATTTTAATTTTTATTTATGTAAATTATTAATTATTTTAATATTTTTATAATCATTAATTTTTTAATTTTAATCGTTTCATTTATTAATTTATTATTTATTATTTGTATTGTTTCAATATTATTTTGAGGTTGAAATTTACTTTTTATGAGATAATGCAAATTGAACTCAACATTTTCAAATAGTATGTTTTAGGGGTAATAGTAAAATCAGTAAATTTCAGATGGTAAAGGGTTGATCCAACACAAACAAGCTTATGGATTTTGATCCTCTAAAAAGTAGAAAAGCATTTATACCTCTTCTCAGATTTTAGACACTTTTAATATCTTTTTAACTTTTTTCATCTGAATTTTCAGATTTATAAAACGCCACCTTAATGTTAACCTAGAAGTCAAACTATTTTTCTTTTTGGGTCATGGGTTAGTGGTTTGGGTCAAATGGATTAATCGATGATATAATAGTTAAATAATAAATATTTAAAAAATAATAAAAAAGCACAAGTAGTCAAAAAATATATATAAAAAATTATATATTAATATGTCAAACAAAAATTAAGTGTGCTAAGTAAAAATTATATATATAATGTAGATGAAATATATAATTTAAAATTGATCCGAAAGCAAAACATTTTCTTATTTAAATGGTGGGTCAATGATCCCACTTTTCAAAGAAATTCATGATGTTATAATTGAATAATAAAGATTTAAAAAAAAAGATAGAACACAAAAGATAAAAAAGAATAGAGTTTTGTCAAAAATATTTTGGAACATTTCTAATGTTATATAATCATCATATTAAATAAAAATAATTGTTAAAATAAAAGTTATTTTTATTTAAGACAAAAATAGAATACAAAATTTAGTAGTAGTAGTAGTAGTAGTAGTAGTAGTAGTAGTAAATACAAGTATTTAAGTTTATTTTGGAACATTTCTATAGGTGCACATTTGGTACAAGTATTTAAGTTTATTTTTAGTCATATTGTTACTTTTATTAATTTTCAATTTCTATACTAACATATATCTAAAATTCAAGTAATTAATATGAAAAAAAATTCATGCATGCAATGCACATGCTTAATTACTAGTAATAAATACAAGTATGAGAGATGTTCCCAATGTATAGTCAAGACATGTTGTGAGGTTGGTGTAAGGAGCACTCTCTGAGGTCAAAAAAGACACAACCCCAATGAATTTAATTTCCTTTTTACCAAAACAAAAACAATCACTTCAAATGATTTTTATATAGGTATTTATTTATATTTTATTCTTTTTAATTTACTATAGTAATTAAGCATATGCATTGTACATGAGAAATTTTTCTTTGTATTAATTACTTGAATTTTATATATATCATAGTTAAGATAGAAATTGAAAATTTACAACAGTAGCAATATGATTAAAAAGAACTTAAATGTTTGTAGTAAATGTGCATGTAGAAATTTTAAATTATAATAACAATTATTATTATTATTATTATTATTATTAGTAGTAGTAGTAGTAGTAGTAGTAGTAGTAATAGTAGTAGTAAACTATGTATTCCATTTCTATCATAAATAAAAAAATATTTTAACAATTATTTTTATTTAATATACTAAATATATAACTTTAGAAATGTTCCCAACTATTTTCAACAAAGTTATGTAATTTTTTCATTTTTTGTGTTCTATCTTATTTTAAATATTTATTATTCAATTATGACATCATGAGTTTTTTGAAAATCATTAACCTGCCATCTAGATAAGAAAATATCTTTGCTTTCGAGTCAGTTTTAATATATATATTTCATCTAAATTTATATAAATAATTTTTACTTATCACACTTAATTTTTGTTTGATATAATTAATATATATTTTT